TTGATACTGGCCAATACTTTTGCCGCAGTTGAAATCAGGTGGCCGCGTCGTCCGCTTTGAATAGGGAATTTGGTTGGCCCATGTCCTCCAATCGAATCCTGGACTGCCCGGATGATTGCCCCCCGCCCCCCTCTAGGTGCGCTGCATGTAGGTTAAATCATACTTGAAGCTCTCATTCATCGGAGATATTTGCAACTTACCAACTGGGGTGATCATCCAAGTACTGGGAAGAAGAAGAATACTATGGGGGTCGGGTTAGAGAAGATTGAGAGAATAGCCCTCAGGTTCCGAAGGCTTTGATTGAGTGTCTACGTTTCAAAACTAACAACCCAAACACACCGCTTGCCGGGGTCTATTGAAGAAAATGCACCCATTGTTCCGGCTCCACATGGGGGGAACCCCCAAATCGGTTGCATTGTCTGCTGCTTCCCTTGTACACAACCTCAGAAAGGGTCCCCTCAAAAAGCACTGCCACGTGTTGTTTGCCACCCTCAAAGTCAGCCCCCGGCCCCCAAGTAGGCCCAAGGACATATCTGCAGTTGCCCTCGCGCCGCTCGACCAGGGCTACACCACCCAACAAATTGAAGCTCATCTAAACCAAAGCCAGCACCCCCGATGCCAGTGTTTTCTGCCAGCTCAAACCCCCTAAAAGTCCAACAAGTGGTCGTTGGAGGGTGTTGCAGTGCTGTTGGGCGACGCTTCATTTGACCCGGAATCCAAGGTCAATAGCTGTTGACTCCTGGGCTCTAAATAGGGTCTGGAAAAAAAAGAAGAGCTATCCATCCCCTTTGGTTTTCCTCGGGAAGCTGACATTGGACTTCCTATCCAAACCTCTCGCGCCATGCGTTTCGCCGAGCTGCCAGCCGCGCGGAGCTCCGCGCCAGCGGCGTCGGGCCGAGGTGCGACATGTCCGGAGCCGAGGGCGGCGGCGCCAAACGCAAAGGGCTGGAAGCGGGAAGCGGCGGGCCTGGCGCGAGCCCAGGCCTATATTTGCCCTAACACCAAGGCAATGCCCTCAAGAAAGTGAGGTTTGAGCCACCACAATTTGATTTATGGGGACGCCTGCAGGCTGGGAAAGGGCATCTGGCGCCCTGGGTGCCTTCGTTGATAGCTTGGGAACCAGGTCTTGTTGGGGTTGCAAACGGTTTTTCCCAAGGCACCAAACAAAAAGGAAAAAAAAACTGGATTGCAGACGAAACTGTTCCTAGGAGTTCTTAGGGGGTGTTGGGGTTCCTTCCAGGGCTTTGGCAGCCAACGGCTATGTGGCTGCACTCGGAAAAAATGCAAGAGTTTGCCAGGGCCAAGGCGATTCCCTGCGAATCCGTGGTTCTTTTCCTTCGTCAAAACTAGGGTGGTGCGAGCGTGCGAGTGCAGGACCTGCTAAAAAGGCAGCTTACAATCAGTTGTCCAAAAACATGAAAAAGCTTGTTTTTAGGCTTTCCCCATGGCACACGGCATGCATCCAGTAGTTGCGCTCGAAGCTGGCTCCTTTTTTTTGACACACCCCATACACAAAAAAACTGCTGGTGTCCGCCAGGATGTTCACAACAAGCAAGGAACCTGCCACTTTTGGGCCTTGTTTGACCAAGCCAAACCCCAAAAAAGGGAAGAAGGAATTGCACCACAGCACCCCCAAGAACTGGTTCCCCATGTGGAAATCCGTCCAAACAGCAGTGGAGCAACCCAACTCAGAAGGCCCCGAGGCCCCGAGGCCTGGCTGCGCGGCGCTTCGCAGCGGCGGCGGCGGGTCCAAGGACCCGAGGCTCAGCGCCGAAGGCGCAGGGCCCAGACGCGCGGAGCTACGGACCTGACGGGTGCCGTTGGATGGGGGCGCTTTGGGATTTTGGCAAACCGAGCGAAAACCAAAAGGCGAGAAGTGCCGTATAATTGGATGATTTCTGAGACTGAGCTTCGCTTAAAGGATAAGGCAGGAACATGAGGACCCCTCCATGAAATCGACTGGTTCTCAAAAGGGCATCATTTTTCGGGGTTTGGGGAAGGGGATCCTTACCTCATTCCTAGAGAACCGGCAAGGAACCGAGGGATCGCAAAGGGCAAACGGAAGGCACTTCTAAACATACAAAACACATCAAAACATCACAATCCCGGCACCAACGCGCATTCAACAGGCTTGCTCTGACCCCCGACTCCGAGGTGCCGGTGGCGGAGGTCCCATGTGCACCAGCCCCAAGGCCAACGCTGCGGCGCCGGGTCGCGCGCGCTTCGGCGCGGGAGGCGAAAGGTCCAGGCGGGCGAGGGCGTGGAGGGGCAGCAATGGGCCTGGCACAGATCAGGATGATGTGCGAAGGGGGCATTGCCATTGCCCATGGTGGAGAATAACAGATTCCAATGGGTAGCCCCAAGATTGCAGAAGGTTCCAGAGGGTGACATGCGGCTTTCAATGGTGCAAGGAAAGTGGATCTTCATCTTGAGTGTCCTAAATAAATCCTTGCCGCATTAAAACTTGACCCCATGGAGCCCTGCAAAAGGGTTGATGCCCTTTTTGGGTTCCTCTGAAGACCATTTCAAACAGTATCTAGTTGCGACACGCCCCGATGTTTGACCCAAGGTTCGTCTTCCATGATGGATTTAGGGCCCAGGAGCCCTCCGTAACAGGATTGATGCCCTTTTGGGTTGCTTTGAACATCGTCTTGGTGGATTTCAGTGACGTAACTATGACGGTATGAGTCTTGGTGGAAGCACGTGGAAGCCAGGACAGTTTCCTCAAGGACAGGAAAAGATCCTGTCTACAGCCATCAACGTTTGGAACCGGCCATCCGCACACAAACCGGTTCTTCCTCATTGTACAAACCTGAAGCAAGGCCTTTTCACTGGCTGTTATGCGCCACTGACGGCATTTGCTACAACCTCCTGGTAGAACCCACTGAAATGGAAGATTGCCATAAGTTGTGGGCGCTGCTCATATGGGGCAAAAGAGAAATGTGTGTTTGTTTGTTTGCTTGCTTGCTTGTTTGTTTGCGTGTGTGTGTGTGTGTGCTCTTTTGTTGGAGTGTATCCTTTTTGTAAAACCAGTGGGAAGGAAAACATTTTAGCACTTGTGTGAGTCCTCCGATTTTGACACTAAATTGCCATATGGCTGTGGCTCAAAACACCGGTACCAAAATGGAGCCCTGGCAAGTGGACACACGGACCAACACCCGCGGTTTGCCACTCCTGTTTGATTTTGAGCCACCCCCCATATCTATATTTTGACCCTTTTGGTTTCAAATTTCGGGGCCGTAGAAACCAAAGCCACCCTCTCGGACAGAATTGGCCCCTGGCCGGCCTGCGGTGGCAAAGCTGGAGGCCGCCAGCACCGAGCCCAGGTGAGCGACAGACCGCAGTAGCGGTGAGGCACCTAGGCGCGGTCCTTTTTGGAGTAATTCGGGTCGCATTCTTTAAGGAAGCAAGTGGGGTGGGATCTGCAAACTCTAGAGTATGTCCAGCTGAACTCAGGAATCCAAGAAAAGAAACACGATGGTCAGCTGCCAAGTGCTAGGCAGATACCATGCCCGTTTCCTCCCTTAACAGAGTCTTGTTTCGGGCAAGGGGGGTGGGGGGGGATTAAGGGAGGCGGGGGGCTGTGAAAAAAGCAATGGAACTCTTTTCGGAGCTAGATCCATGTTTGATTGTGGGTAAGCCACCAAACAAAAAGGCACTTAGAAAACCTTTATGGTTGAGGTCACCAGAGACAACCCTGCGTGAGAAAGCTGGAAGTGCCAACTAGCATGCCTAGCGACAAAAGCCATTTGCTTCAAAAGGGTATTGCTTGCCAACAAATGCATGCCAAGGGCTTGGCGAAAATCTGCCAAAAAACGGAGTGACACTGAAGCAGTGCCCCGAACTCATCAAGCTTCTGTAAGAACTGGTTGATTACCTGAATATGAGTGAATCAACGAAGCAACTTCAGAACTCCAGTGGATTCTCATCGGAAAAAAGGGGGTACCCTTTTGTGGGTACTGGATCAAAGAAACCCAAGGGTACTGCAGGTCTGGGCATGGACAATTTCAGAGTGGTGCTTACTCCATGCTTGCAATGCGGAGAATTCACTGTGCCAAGTTGTTCACAAGTGCATGTCAGCATAAAAGGCACTCGACGAAAGTCAATCCACGCTAGGCCCCGCACCTGGGGAAAGCGCTAGGGTCATGACTTAAAGTGTTTCCAACTGACACTGTAATTTGGCCACACACCCTATTCTATAATAGTAATTTGGTGAATTTCTTCCTGAACCTTTCCAGATACTGACATACATCCCGGTGAAAACTGACCGTTTCTCTGAAATGAGCGCCTTTTGGTTGCACCAACTTCTTAAAAACAAAAAGGCTTAAGGCTTACTTTCCAACATCTCGGCTCTGTCTCAAATCGGGAACCTCTTTCTGAATGCTTTTGATTGGGAACGTATCATTGCATTGTATACAAGGGAACCGAAAGGAAATCATGGATCACAATAACTTGGGTTCCAGTCAGCACTGCAAGTGAGACATTATGGGAAAAGTCCTTCTTTCAGGTTGGTAGCAGCCTACGGACAAAAAAAATAAAAAAAAAAAAATCTGGGACCCTAAATGAGTTTGGTTTGCTGTGGGTTTTCCTTGAAGCCGGGTCCAAAAAAGGGCCCTTCTTTTTGGGGAAAGAAGAATGGTTGGTGTTGCAGTGAAATCAACCCTACAAATCACTCCTCCGCAGGTGCAACATCATCTGCGCAAATTGCAATAATTTGTAAAAGCGAGCTTCATGGACAGCCTTGTTTTATCTTTTGACGTCGTAATAATTTGCGTAAACAGCCTGCCCTCCTCATGAACTGATTCCGAGCCATAGTAAGGGTAGCTATGGCAGCCGAAACGTGACTATTAGTCTATTAGTGGCAGTTGGGGGGTCATTAAGAACCATTCAGGGGCCATGATCTTGCCATGGCTCCCCCTATGGCTCTGAATCGCTAGTGGATTTCCGCCTTCCCCCAGCCACCTGGCCTGTGTTGCCGCAGTTCATGGCCAAAAGTGGCGATTCCAAGTGCACGGCACCCAACGGCGGCAGCGCCGAACCCGGCCGGGCAGCGCTCCGCGGCAACGGCGGCGGCGCCAAGTGTGCGGAGCCACACGCCGAAGCGGAGAAATCCAGCCGTGCGAGGCCTCAGGCAGTGAGTCAGTCACCCCATGGTTGGATGGACAGTTTGTTGGACGCATCAACAAAACATCTCAAGAGGTGTCTATCGTTCTCTTCGCGGCAAATGAAATGTGGCCCCTTCTGGGATGGTGTCGCCGCTAAAGGCCGTCTTTCAACAGGAATATCAAACAGGGTCCGGGTCCCATCCCCCCATGTGTCACAAGGAAAAGGACCGCGAATCCCACCAAAAAAGCACACACTCAAGCTTCCCAAAGATTCGTATGTGTCCCCTTTAAAAGGCGGCCGGTGGCACCAGGCTCCAAGTCCAAGATAAGATGGACCATTTTAGTCTTGACCCCCTCATGTATGATAATTATGGACTTGGATGCGGAGAGCTCTCATCCAGTGACAGAAACAAGAGAGCATCAAGCTACTCTGAGACGCTACGCTTCAAATTCATAGCCAACTGAATTTCAATCTCCGAGTGCAATGGGCCCGAAAGGTGAAACATCAACATCACCCTGCGGAAGCTTCGGTTTGGATTGCTGTCTTGGGGATTTAACCCCCCTTGTCAACTCGCGTAATAGGAACCCGCCAATCCAACCCTTCAAACCACCACTTCGAAGCACCAACCATTTCCTGAACCTAGGGCAGCCCGTGGTGCCAACCAACGAAACATCGGGTTCTCGATATTTCACGTTGAAGTCGCAACATCACCCCCAAGGAAAATGTTCGATTGACCCAGGTGATGCTTCAACAGTCAAAGGGGCAATATGGGGTGCTCAAAGTGAGGCGATCCCCAGAATGGTGGTTTCCTCTTAGCTTCTCTCCAACACAAACCAAAAGCGGCGTCTCCCTCCCCACCAAAAATACAGACTGAATATGTCCGGCCAAAACAAAAGGCACATTATCCTGGCAGGCTCACAACTCAGTTTGGTGATCTGAAGGTAGCCTACAACCCCATTCTCCTTATTTGAGTGTCTTTTTTTGGGGGTACCCCTTCTTCGCGTGTTTTTATAGGGAGGAAAAACACCATTTGCGGGGTCCCCTCAAACAGGACACACGCGTTTTGGCCCTTATAGGGCACCGCGACCCGTCCGCCGCGGTTCCCGCCGCGGGGCTGCGCACCAGGGGCGCCGAGCCGACCTGCGAGGCGCCCGAGGCCAAGGAGGGCGTGCCGAAGCGCGCGGCGGCGGCAGCGGGCGGAGGTGGCCCCGGTCGCGCGAGGCCCCGCGGCGGCGAAGAGGCGGCCTGGAGTCGCTTGGTTGCTGTTGACCCCCCGGCCAGTTTCACTTCTTGGGGGGTTAGTGGAAAACCTCTTGATTTCCCAAAAAGTTGAAGTCTGAAGATCCAAACCAATAGCAGTCAAGGGAGGAATGGCCAGTGGCAGTCAACATTTGTTCCTCTCAAGAGGACATGGAGTAATGCGTGGGAAATTTAGTGAGTCCCTCCCAAACAATCCATGGATACTGGTAAGTTTGACCACATGTCAAAGGCACATGATTTGAGATGATCCTGTTGGCTAAAAGGTTGATGGTTACAAGGGGTTGCAAGACGTTGGGGGGCTTACTAACCACTTCGCCAAGTCAGATCATCAAAGTACTGCCAAGCCAACTAGCATGGGTCCCCCCAATCCCCTGGAGATTTTCACTCAAAGGCGGCCACTACAGTGTACCATTTTTAAAGTGGTTTTGAGGCAAACGAGTGGCGAGTACCTTTCGGCTTGCTGGATTTCAGTCGGGAATCAACCGGAGTTTGGGGAATGAACTTGGGATTCCCTTAAAGGAAACCACAAGGGATGGTCTACAGGGGTCATTTTCCTCATTCCACTCTGAGAACCAGCAAGTTAAGGGAAAGCAAAAAACAAATCAATGTCTGGCTCCCACATTTTAAAACATTTTAAAACAACCCGGAGTATTTTCCCAAAGGATCCTGTCCCCGGGCACAAGGCATGTATCTATCACTTCTTTTTTGTTTGTGGGCAGCCTATGTTAGCTTCCCTCTGGTGTCTCTTGAACAAAAAGCAACATATATCTGGAACAGCAAGATATATCTGGAATATATTTGCATATATATATATATATATATATGTATGTTTAACATAGATACAAAGGACCCTCCTTTTGGTGACCTTGTTTGGTACTCCATGCTAATTTGCGGGGGAGTAACTCCTGAGATGATCAGGTAGCTAGTTGGTAGGTAAACTCAAGTGAACCCCCCTAACCCTTTGCAAACCCTCCAACCATGGTTGCCAACCACTTGGCTACCTCCCAGATCATCCCGGTAGACCATTGACTTGCAGCAGGGCACCGAGTGAGCTGCATCAGGAGCAAGGATCGCGAGCTCCAGGCGTGCAAAGCTTTGGATCGGCAGCCTCGGTGCACAAAACCAGGTGGACATACAAGGGCTTAAGCAATTTGAATGCGGTTGTGGGGTACTTGAACACCACTTTCAGCTAATCCTAACACAACCTGAAAGTGATCAGTTGGCACGTCACACTACTGTTTTGCGGATAGGCATGGTTTTTTAATGGTTGAAACTAAGCCTCCTCCGGAAGGATTGATGGCCTCAGGTCTCTGATCCTGGTTTCAATCGGCCTCAGTTTCTACCCTGAGACCTCTAGGTTGAAGGCAACTGCAGACGCTGCTGAATATATTGACGTAGTTGATTAAGGGTCTCACCTTTTAGTTCCCTTCTTTCCCTTTGGTTCCCCGTTTCTTTTCAATCAGCCCCAAAGATGACTACCAAGCAAGCAAGCAAGCAAGCAAGCAAGCAAGCAAGCAAGCAAGCAAGCAAGCAAGCAAGCAAGCAAGCAAGCAAGCAAGCAAGCAAAAGCAAGCAACAGCAAGCAACAACAAGCAAGCAAAAACAAGCAAGCAAAAAGAAGCAAGCAAAAACGAGCAAGCAAAAACAAGCAAGCAAGCAAGCAAGCAAGCAAGCAAGCAAGCAAGCAAGCAAGCAAGCAAGCAAACAGGCAGGCAGGCAGGCAGGCAGGAGGGCAGGCACGCAGGCAGGCAGGCAAGCAAGCAAGCAAGCAGCAACACACCAAACCAAGAATGGGGAAACAAAACACTGTCATCCATTTGTTCCGCCGAAGGCGCGGTATGTCCGGCTGCGCTGTGCCGACCACCGCCAGAGGCGACCCCGGCCGCACGCCGCCGGGCGCCGGAGGCGCCGAGCCCGGGCGAACCAGGCTGTGGGGAGGTGGAAATGGCTCCGGGTGAGCGAAGCCTCGGAAGGGGAAGGAGACCACAAGGATCCCACCAACCGATGTATGACTTGTTTGGAAAGATGCCGACCAGGGTTGCATCATGGAGGTTGTTCAAAGGGAAGCAAAAGCGCAACCGCCCACTTGGGTGATCTGGGAGTTCAGCAAGTGGGTATAAAGCCCGTTTTTTTTCTTCTTCTGCTAACCCCTTGCAAGCTCTTGCAACCATGGTTGCTCACGCCTGGATAACTTCCAAATCATCGCAGCAGGGATATGTTTGAGCCAACCCAAGCTAGACTTAACCCAGTGGTGGTTGATTTAAACTAAGATCGACTTGAACCAACAGGTGGCTGATTCCCCAAAGAGGTGGTGGACATTTAGAAAGGGGGAACCCCTAGGTGGAAGCCTACCTTGGGACGATAAAAAGGGAACCCGCCAGTCAAACCCTGGCTTTGACCTTCGTGGCAATTTTCTGCTGGGCTACAATGAAACGACCACAGGGAAGTCAACGGGAACTTGATCGATGGGCTCACGAGAGGGAAGCTGGGTCCTTTGGGAGAGCTTGTGGGCTCTGAGAGAACCTCTTGCCCATGGGATCAGGCATATAAATGGGCACCATGACGTATGCCATCTAGGCAAATGACTCAGGAGCCAGAAACAAGGAATCTCCAAGCGAGGGACTTCATCACAGTTACGCGCCCTCAAAGACATAGGGGATAGTGTCAAACTCCTTTCAGAGGCACGCTTCATTGTGGTCTCCGCTTAAAATGCTTTCAAAGGGACTGGCCCAACAAGTCAACCTATTTACCCGCTAGGTAGATAACTCCAGGATCGATAGGGATACGTGTCAAAACTTGGGAGCCCAACAAACGGCGATTTTGCTTTGATTTCCCTTTTCACCAGACTGTAAAGGGTAACCACAACACGTGATATGTACGCCCATGCGTCGACGACTCCGACCGATGCTTTCTGCGCAAGCTGCCCGTGGCTGGAAGCAAGGCTCCTGGCCCAGCCCGGAGCTGAAACCGGTTTGCAGTGAAGTCCAATGTCCCTTTCGCAGGGATCATGGGGTTTCGCATGCACCACCCATCCTCATTGACTCATGGTACCCCAAGAGGCCTGAAGTCCTCACATGTGGTTGAAACTGGAAGCAGTGCTTTGGTACGTCAAATGGGCAACCCCGCTGAAAGGCAAACCAACAGGAAACCAACAACATGAGCGTGGTACTGTGGTCCTATTTTGGAGAGCCAAGCTTGGGTCGTGGCTTCCATCACGGAAAAGGGAAGCTTCTCCTGGGACAACGAAGTGGAGATGGACATTCTTCCAACAAGTCCTTTGCCTTGGAGTATATTGGGAAGCCGGCTTTTATTCACCTCAAGTCGTATTTGGGCCCATAAATAGAGGGCCCGGCCGTCCTGATCGCGCAGAGCCTCGGGCCGCCAAAAGGGCGCCCAAATACGCAGAGTCCGCAGCAAGGATCGGCAGCTCGAGTCGCGTCTGGCCAAAGGCAACCTGAAAAACACAAACCGATATGGCTGTGGGTCAAAAATAGGTACCGAAAATGGAGCCCTGGTAAATGGAACCAGGGACTAAAACCTGCGGTCCCCTGGTGGTTTAATTTTGACACGCAGCCATATTCAGCAATCCAAAGCACTGGCCACGGAATATGTCAAATCGGCCGATTCCAGCGGAAAGCGCAAACTGGTTATATATTCTGTGGCCGCTTGTCTGAAACTGGGAAAAGTTGGCTTTGCAAGTCTTCCTGGCTGACACCGCCCCGTTCTTTCGCATCGGCGAACGTCATGAAACAGGGCTGCTCCAAGGGTGCCGAGGGACATTCACATCGCGAGTCATAGCCAAGTGTCACCCCCAGCGGAGCAAGGCCTGACCCATCGGATTGTACTTGTGTGTTCGAGGGTGCTCTTCGCGAGTGCTTTTTACCCCTCACATGGCCACACTTGGGGGTTGGCAAGACTTCCATCATCTCTTAAGTGCTTTATCCCAGGTTCCTGTCTTGCTTACCCCAAACGAACTTGTAGGGTGCATGATGTAATTAGTTCAAAAGTTGGATTTAAGTCTTGCCCGGGCCCACAATGCTCTGTGGATGGATTGCATCTTAGCTGCGAGCGCTACTCCGGCGCGCAGCAGGCCCCGGGGAGGCAAGGGGCTGCCAGGATGAGCAAAGTCCAAGGCGGACAGCGAGGCTCCTGGCGAACAAATCTGCCCAAATCCGTGGTATCAAAGCTGGTCCCCTGCCCCAGGTCGTGCAAAGGCGAACCGCGGTGATCTCGTGGCGCATGATTTGAGATAGAGAGATAAATGCAACAAAAGGTCAGATTCTGGTCCATATTTAGTCTACAATAATAAACATATATATATATATATATGTTTAATATCTCTGAATATTCTTGTCTACAAGAATAAATAGATAATACCTCTGAAGATCCCAAGACACCCCCTTCCCGAAAGGGGCCCGCCCAACAGCCTGTGTTTGTAAGATGCGGTGAATTGTGGCGTAGCTGCGCTTTACGGAAACCTGAGGGAAATCAGCCATGGGCCAGCGTCTTAATTGAAATAAAGAAGAAGCTGCTTCCAGAAGTGACGGTCCCACCAGCACCAATGTCCCCCTACTTTTGCTGTAGGGGTGCAACGGGTGGGAGTATGGACAGAAAGTTCCATTGCTCAGTCTTTCCCAAGAGGGCACCTGGAAGCCTAAAGTGGAATTCCAAAAAGCACGGCCTTGTCTACACCAGGTCTATGTGCAGGGGACGAGGGTACAACAGGTTTCAAGTGCAAGCCTGTCAACCTGCACAGATTTGGGTAACATGCTGGTGTCTATACGTAGTATCAGGCGAGCCATTCGGGGTCGCACGAATTGCTGTGAAGAAGAACTCGTCATGAGGGCTATTTGGGTTTGTCTCTGAATGGTGGAAACCCAAGATGGGTGTTTCATGTGAACACCCTTGAAAGCAGCCTCACAAAGCATACCATCCACTTGACAAACATGCATGGGCGTTGCCAAAGCAAAGCCGAATACTCAAACTGTAGTTGGCTCAGGCTAGTAGCCTCCAACAACTCGTTGCAAAGAACAACCCCACCGCTCAGTGTCCGAAGTCCGTGGTTCAAGGGATTTCTGAACATCTGGTCGACCCAAGCAAGGCGCGGACATCCAGCCGCTTGGAGGCTTGCTTCCGGAAATTACACCAGGGTGAAAGTAGATGGCACAAGTCCCGATATGCGGGTAGGTACAGGGGATGAGAAAAGCAAAATGAATAAAATGCGCCATCTACTTCCACCCAACTGTGCTCACTGTCCACTCACTGTCCAATCATCGCAGTAACGAACGTCGTCTTCGAAAAACCTCCTGTCAGCTTCCATGCTTGGAACAGGCCAACAATGCATCAGACTATTGGGAACAAACCAATCAGCAGCCCCATTCGGGCGATGTTCGAGACCACCGAAGGAAGAACATGTTCAAATACCAGCACCCAAGGGCTCCTGCTCATTGCCGCTGGGGTTCAGCACCGCTGGTAAGTAGACAATTCTGAATAAAATCATCTGGTAGACATGTCACGAATGTCTATGAATATGTCTCATACAATGTGTGTCAATGTGTAAGTCTTCTATACCCCTGGTGTGCTAAACAAGGCAAATCTGCCCCTGATATGACAGCATATGCATCTGAAATTCCATGCACATTAAAATAATTCACCGTGTATTTCAAAGGCGCCCTTCCCCCTTCCCATAGTGGCAGCAAGAAGCAATCTGGCTCACTGCACAGAACCTGGCAACAAAGCCCTCGCCTTTTGAAGTCCTATGAAAGCACATTGATACCAAGCGCGGATCAAACTAGGAAGACCAAAAGGCAAAACGCCGAAGCAGGCGCCTCCTTTTACAGGGTATCCTTTTAAGAGGTTTGTCGACAGGCAAGTGGAGAAGGAACGAAACCATTTTGGGGGGGACGCCCTGTGAGACATGCCCATTTGCTTTAGGCAACTTGCCGGGCCTAAACAGTTAGAGTGGGGCCTCTGAGGGACTTTGAAACCAAAATAAGCCATGATTCACAAGACCACTGTTAAAATCATATGCTTGGGCCATGACCTTTAAACTTGTATGTCAGGACAATGTCCTGAAATTGAAGTTAGATTCCGTTGCAATGAGTCATCCCCTTGTCTGCGAGATGTGACAAGTT